TGGACATTCTTTCAAAAGATCTCCAAAGGCAACCAAACCCAAACAAGTCCAGCACCCCAGTCCCTTATCAATGCAGCCACTGGCTCTGTGATGTCACTTGCTCGGAGCAATTTGAAAAGGCTGAATGATCATCTCTTCCATGCCATCTCTTCCTGCTGAATTAATAATTTGCTAAGTCCTTATAGAGGATGATTGTTCAAATGTATTCATGCATTACAGCAATGCAAACAGCTTCTTGTATCAACAAATGAGTACGTTGTACTTTATGTTTTGGCATTGCTGAGCTGCCGTGTACAAGCCAGTGTCTGGGAAAGCAATACCTAAACAAAATAAATTCTGCACCACCGCCATATATCCCCCACCATTCATATAGCATTTATGTTATTACTTTCACCAAAATGAGGAAACCCAACCATTAAATACACAGTGCGTCCCCCTCTAATTAGCGTCTGGCCCTGGAAGGCATTCTGGGAGTTGTAGCTCTTCCAGGGATGCAGAGGGCAAGTTGCCCACATCTCCAGTAGACTCTTCTACAATATCATGCGTTTTTTGTTTTTTTTGAGCAGTCAGGCCGCCCAATCAGGAACGTTGCTTATTCCTTAGTTCAGGGTTGTTAATGTAATCCTGGACCGATTACAGTCTCTCCAGGCCCGTTGGTTGAGCTCTCCTCTGCATAATTCATCACTGTCCTCTCTGCAAAACTGTGTCGCCGTGACAGGGCTCCAACAGCCTTTCAACATTCTCCTTTCACTATCTTTGAAAAGTCGTTGCAGGAGAGCCGGGTGGAAAAAAAATGATTTTTAAAAAAGGACATCAATCAGAAAGAGACTTGAGGAATGAAAGGAGATCAGGATACCTTAACGTCCTGCGTACATTATATTTTATCCTTCCATTAAAATAGTGTATGTCCATACAGTGATATCAGGGGCGCAATGGGATGGTCTTTGACAGTATAGAACATGAGGGTATCAAGGCATATTATCGTTATTAAGGCATGTTATCACTGTAACATTTAAGACATAAAACCTTCATTTAAATATATTAATATATCAAAAGCTGCAAAGGATATAAATCCACTATGTGAACACCAAATGCCTGTGCAGACGCAGATATCGCCTTTAAAAAGTAGCAGTGACATCATCACTGTGCAGTACATAGCCTGTGCAG